TTTTGCTTTTTTTTTTTTTTTTTTTTTTTCGAATTGTGAGCAAATAGCTTTTCTGTAAAGATGTTTGAATATGCTGTTGGATTTAACAATTATACACTTTCAAGCAAGCTAGATCTTTTCTTAATTAACTTAATGCTCCTAAGAAGTAATATTAGAATTTTGACTTTAGATATACAGTTTAGGAATTGTAACCTAAGATCAGTACAGAGACAAAAAACGGATCGTTAGGAAATTAAGAAATGAAAGATGGTGGCTTAGGCTTGTGCTACCTTTAATTGAATCATACAAAGTTTATATTCTACTCCCTCCTATCCGCAATAAGTGATCTTTTGGCCTTTTATTTTGGTCCAAAATAAATATTTTTTAATAATCAAGAAGGAATAATTTTATTTTATTTTTTAAATTTGCCCTTATTTACATATCACAATGTGTCAAGGTAACAATTAATTAAGGGTAATTTAGTGAATACATCTTTTTTTCTCTAGGAGTTCGTATTTTCTTAAGGGATATGCCAAAGACTAAAAAGTCACTTATTATGAACTGGACACGTCATGTTGATTTAGGTTAATAACAACAACTCTCGCTGTTTCAATTTAAATGACACACTTTTTTTATTAGTCAGTTAAAAAAAATTAACATATTTTTATATTTGGAAACAATTTAACTTTAAACTTATTTTTCCAACTTTAACCTTATTGATAAGCTTTTACCGTCACAAAATTATCATGACCCCACAAAGTTTTTGGCCCTTAAACTTTTAGGACCACATGTTTAAAAAGTCTTTTTTTCCCCTTAAACTTTTTACCAAGTCAAACTACATTACCTAAATTGAAACAGAGGGAGGAATAATTTATCAGGGTTATCATACTTAGGGATGACAAACGATTTGGTGCGGTGCGATTGCGGGGTAAACCCGCGTAAACCCGCAAGGATTTCAACCCACCCTCCCCGCATAGCATTTCCATCCGTGTTTACCCGCCCCACACTAACAACCGCGTCCACCCGCCCCACACCACATAAGTTTTTTTCTTCATTTTGTTTGTTTTTTTTCTAGATTTTGGATGGAATTTTCGATTTAATAAAAATAAATGCAAGATCTTTTATTGATCATGTACTAAATTCGTCAATTAGAAATAAAAAAAAATTTGTTGCTCATTGCAAACATTTTCCCCTTTTCCCCAAACATTTTTCTGTTAACTTGTAGTAACAGAACTAGTTGTTTTCTTTATTTTAGGGCTATTAAAATCAAGAATCAAAAGCTTTATTAGAACGGAAGCAAACCCAGAAAAATTATAGGGGTAAAACGTTTGTTATTACCCTACTGATCATTTAAAATCTTTTAGGATCGTTTCTGGACAAATGTGAAACCAACTAAGTAGGGAGCGAGCCCTATATGATAAAATCCTTAGTAGGAGTGCCCCCCACCCCCTCATAAGACCCTACGCGGTACGAATCCGGATATAATCGGGCTTCAATGCGGGTGTCGGAAGAAACAAAACAAAAAAAAGTCTGATCACTTTTCAAAGTTAAAGGGCTCATAATTTAACAAAGAAGTCATGTCACCTCTCAAAGTTAAAGCACTCATAGTTACAGAAACTGAAATGTTTCTACTAAATTAAGAAAACTATGGGATCCAGGTGAATAATATTATCAGACCAGATTACACATTAAAGTAAAACGATTAAACTATTAAATAACTAGAGTTCAAGGGTCTTTCTCTTTCCCTTCAGTGACACTTCCCTCTCCATCCTGCTTGGCAATTGCAACCAACCCCTGTTAATTAGTTCAGATGGAAAAAACCAAAATATAAAGCTAGCTATCAAGTAAAAGTGCATTTTCCACAAATAACAAATGCGTAGGATTACTATTTCCACTCAATCTTATTCCATACACACCCATAGTAATGTATTTTGGGGGGA